TGGCTGCAGCTTTGGGGGCCCCTGGGGGGGGCCCCTCGGGTTTGGGTTTGGGGGGCTGCATTTGCTGCGGCCTCCGTGAAGCCCTAAACCCTAAACCCTAAACCCTAAACCCTAATGTCTCAGGCAAGGGGCTCGGGTAGATTTGCACTTAGATCCAAAGTTGTTGAGAAGGTCTACAGCTGGACAGACACCGCGCTGCTGCTGCTCTTGCTGCTGCGGCTCTCGCTGCTGCTGCTGCTCCAGCTGTTGCTGCCGATGTCAGCACAGATGACACCAAATTAAACAGTCTACTAATAAGAAAGGGTTTAGAAAACCCTAAACCCTAAACCCTGATTCCGAAAACCCTGCTGGCGAGAGAGGCGCTGGCCTGTCCACTGAGCGAGCCAGCGGTAGGGTTTAGGGTTTAGGCTTTAGGGTTTGTTTCGGCTCCACATTTCAGAGGAAGTCATCTAAATTAGTTAAATATTCATGCATTAAATGATTTTTGCAGCAAGGGCGAGCACGCAGCCGCTGCAGCAGCCGAAACAGCAGCAGCAGCAGCAGCAGCAGCAGTGGTGTGGTAGTGGGCCCCGAGCTGCTGCGGCAGCAGCAGCAGCTGCTGCGCTGCTGCTGCTGCTGCTGCTGCTTCCTAAATAATTTAAATTCTTGTTTAATTGCTGATTTTGTTGCTTGAAAGGCTGCTGCTGAGGAGCTTCGTCCTGTACATACACCAGAAAGAGAAGACCCACTGGGGGCCCCCTTGAAAAGATAAAACTAGATTTTATTTTCGATTAAATAAATTAAAATTCAATTAAAAGATAAACTTGGGGCCCCTGGGGTCCCCTGGTTATATTTTATTCAACTTTACGCATTAGAGAGGCGCAGCGCACCTAGTTTGCTACACGTACTGCTGCTGCTGCTGCTGCTGCTGCTGCTGCTACTGCTGCTGCTGCTACTGCTGCTGCTGCTGCTGCTGCGCTGTGAGCATGGCTCTCTCTGAGGCCCCCAATGTAGAAGTCCCTGGCAAAGAAGGGCCCTTGCTGGGCTCCACTGCAGCAGCAGCACCATTTGCCGCTGCTGCTGCAGACGCCCCTTCAGCAGCAGCAGCAACAACAGCAGCAGCAGCAGCTGCTGCTGCTGCTGCTAAGGATGATCTGTTCGTGCGGCTGCCCGCGGAAGAGGCGGCTCTCATTGGGGGCGAAGTGAAGGAGTCCCTGGAAAAATGGTAGGCGCAGCAGCAGCAGCAGCGGCAGCAGCTGCAGCAGTTGCTGCAACAGCAGCAGCAGTTGCAGAAGCAGCAGCAGCAGCAGCTGCTGCTGCTGCTTGTTAAGCTAGCTGCGAGCGCATTAGGCCAAAGAAGGAAAGGCGCTGATAGCCCTATGTAGAAGGAAGCAGCAGAAATAAATAAATAAAGTTAATAAATATAATTGAGAAATAAAATTAATTAATTAATTTTATTTATTTAAGTAAATGTTTTAATAAAATAATTAAATGAATAAATTAAATAAATAACAGATGGGTTGAAGAGAATGACAGAAACGAAGACAAACAAATGCAATCTGCTGCTGCTGCTACTACTACTGCTGTTGCTGCTGCTTCTGTCGTTAGTTGTATTGCTGCTGCTACAGATGTTGTTGCTCCTGATGTTGCTGCTGTTGCTACTTATGTTGCTGCAGCTACGAATGCGGTTGCTGCTACTGCTGCTGCTAGTGGTGCTGCTGCTGCTACTGCTGCAGCTGCTACTATTCTTAGAACTGCTGCTGCTGTTTCTGTAGCTAGTGTTGTTTCTGCTGCTGCTGCTGGTGCTGCTGTTGCTGCTTCTGGTGCCACCGCTGCTGCTGGAATAGCTATTGCTTCATCTGCCGCTGCTGCAACTGCTGCAAGCGCTGCTGCTGCTACTGCTGCTGCTGCTGCTTTTGCTGCTGCTCAGGGGCTTGCTGCAGTGTTTGTCTGTCGGCTGCTTCTTCTGCTGCACCTCCCCAAGAGACTTGCCAGCAGCAGCACTGATGCAGCAGCTGCTGCTCTCTCCCTCTTTTGCTGCTTTTGCTGCTGAAAAGCGACTGGAGGGCCTGAGTAAGAAACAGTGAAGCCAGCAGCAGCAGCAGCAGCGGCAGCAGCAAAGGGTGCAGCAACGGCAGCAACAGCGGAAGCAGCAGGTGCAGCTGCAGCAACAGGCACAGCAGCAGCAGCAGCAGTAGCAGCAGCCGTAGCAGCAGCAGCACCAGCAGCAGCAGCGAGTGTGCGTTGGGGTGTACAGGCAGCTCAAAAGGGCCGCAGTCTGTTCAGTGGAGGGAGCTGAGGTGTACATACACCTCAGCAGAGCCGCTGTTTGCAGCAGCAGCAGCAGCAGCAATTATTAAAGAAGATGGCGCTGTGCGGCAGTGCCTGCCCTACTCGAAAGAAGGTAAACCCCAAACCCTAAACCCTAAACCCTAAACCCTAAACCCTAAACCCTAGCTAGTTGCTTAGCCAAAGGACTCCAGCGAGTTCATTCAGGTATTTTCATTACGGATGCTTTACGTGCTGCTTTGCTGCCTGCTGACGACCTTGCTGAGCTGTCTGTACACCCCAGCAGCAGCAGCAGCAGCAGCAGCAGCAGCAGCGGGAAGGCTTTCACCAGCTCGGACCTGCAGCAGGAACTTCTTTTCAGGATCTTCGCCTTATTAGCTTTAGGTAAAAATAAGAACAAATAAGAAATACAAAAAGCCCTCAAAAGGTCACAACAAGCAGCAGGAGCAGCAGCAACAGCAGAAACAGCAGCAGCAGCAGAAACAGCAGCAATAGTAGATCATGTGTTTGTTCTCAGGAGGGGCACTCAACCAGCATGAGGACAACATTAAAGTACAGCCACACCAAATACAGAGCAGAAGCAGCAGCTACTGCTGCCGCTGCTGCTGCTGTTGCTGTTGTTGCTGTTGTTGCTGCTGCAGCTGCTGCTGGTCGTTGGCAAACTCGGGGTTTGGGCTGTTCTCTGGGTTGTTCCTTCTACTGCTGCTGCTTCTATTGCTGCTACTACTACTGTTCGTGCTGCCGCAGCTGCGGTTGTAGCTGCAGCAGAAGCAGCAGCAGCAGCAACTCCTGCAGCAGCAAATGCTTCTGCCTGCTGCTGTATGTGCAGCCATACCTGCAAGTGGGCTCTGCGCTCTATAAACAGCTTGTCAGGTGAAGCAGCAAATGATTCACTCTACTTGCTGCTCCTGTAGCAGCAGCAGCAGCAGCTGGTGCTGCTGCTGCAGCTTCTGCAGCAAAGCCAGCGCAGGCAGTGCACTTAGAAAGTAGGAGCAGCATTCCTAGCAGCAGCAACAGCAGCAGCAGCTGCTGCTATTCCAAATGCAGTAGATGTGAGCCGATCATTTTTGTTATGTCTGTTGCTGCTGCTGCTGTTGTTGCTGCTGCTGCTGCAGCTGCAGGAAGACTGCAGCAAAAACTCTAGAGGTGGACAGCAGGGCCTTTGAACTTGTGGGGCTCGCTAATGGGGGCCCCCATCAGGGGGCCCCCCATCAGGGGGGCCCCCAAGGGGGGCCCCTCCGCCTTTTTAAGTCTTATGATCCTCGCTGCTGCTGCTTCCTTATCTGTGATAGTCTTAATAGGTGAGGAGGAACTTGCTGCTGCTGCTGCTGCTACTGCTGCTGCTTCTGCTGCTACCGCTGCTGCTGCTACTTCTGCTGCTACTGCTGTGGCTACGGCTGCTGCTTGTTCTGCTGCTGCTGCTGCTGCTGCTGCAGCTGTTGCAGCAGCCACTGCCGAGAGCACTGCCTGTGTTCCTGCTGCTGCTGCTGCTGCTGCTGCTGCTGCTGCTGCTTCACTACAGGCTGGTATGGCTGCTGCACGTGGACGTTTCAGCGTGGGCTTGAAGATTACGCAGTCGGCTAGCTAGCTAGCCAAGGGGCCAGCTAGCTAGCTAAGAAGCTAGCTAGCTGGCTAAGCAGCTAGCTAGCTAGTTAGTTAGCCACCCCTCAGCTAGCTAGCTGGGGAGTCCGCAAGAGGCTGAGCAATGTAGATCACTGCCTGGATATTACCTAACAAGCAGCGGGAGGCAGCTGCGTAGGTAGCTGGCTAGCTAGCTGGCTAGCTAGCTAGCTGGCCAACGAGCTGGCTAGCTAGCTAGCCAGCTGGCAAGCTAGCTAGCCAGCTTGCTAGCTAGCTAGCTAGCTAGCCAAGTGGCACACAGTTCGCTACCGACGTAACCAGCTAGCTAGAAAGCTAGCTAGCCAGCTAAAAATGGGCCAGCTAGCTGGCTAGCTAGCTAGCTGGCTAGCTAGCTAGCTAGCTAGCTGGCTAGCTAGCTAGCCAGCTAGCTAGCTGGCTAGCTGGCTAGCTGGTGTTTGATGGAATCTGGAGAGGCTGGCAAACGTGAGGCGGCCAATTCGCTGATGAGGTTTAAAAGGTCCTAACAAAAGAAATCAAAAAAGATCAACAAGAATTCTAAAAAAACAGAAAAAGATATAAAATTATTAAAAAGATCAAAAAGGGTCAAAAAGGATCAAAAAAACAAAAAGAGATAAAAAAGGATTTAAAAGGAATTAAAATAGATCAAAAAGGATTGAAGAAAAGCTAAAAAGGATTAAAAGAAGACAAAAGAAACAAAAAATAATTGAAAAAAGAAAAAAAGAAAAAGAAAAAAACTAACTTGTTTTATTTCTTCGGGCGGTCGCAGCTCTTTGACAATCTGCGCTCAGGTGTACATACACCGCAAATCCGCAAGGGTTTAAATTCGCTTTTCTCTTTTCTTTTAGGGTTTAGGGTTTAGGGTTTAGGGATTAGAGCCTTAACGCCAGGGTTCAGCGATCCGGATTGGGCCGCAACGCTAGGGTTTAGGGTTAAGGGTTTAGGACTTAGGGTTTAGCTGTAAGGGTATGTGAGTCTCGCGTTAAGGCCTACGATTTAACTTAAAGGGTCCAGGATCCAGGGCCTAGGGTTTCGAGATTAGGGTTTAGGGTTTAGGGTTTACCTGGCCGCTGCGGGGCAGCAGCGAGCCCGCAGCAGCATCAAGTAGTGCTGCTTCTGCTTTTTCAATTAGGGGGCCCCCCACAGCTAAGTGGAGGGGCCCCATGGGGGCCCCCGTTGCTGTTGTTGCTGCTACCCTTGCGTCGACGACTTTCTGGGTTTGCTCCAGCTGCAGCAGCAGCAGCAGCAGCAGCAAGGGGAGCCCCGCTGCAGCAGCAGCAGCAACAAGCGGGCTGCCGCTGCAGCAGCAGCAACGGGAGCACCGGCGTGCGGAGACCGAAGATTGACTTCGCAGCAGCAGCAACAGCAGCAGCACCAACAGCAGTAGCAGCAACAGCAGTAGCAGCAGCAGCAGCAACAGCAGCAGCACCAACAGCAGCAGCAGCAGCAACTCACGCTTTTAGATAAAACAGCAGAAAAGCCTCCCTTAGTTTCAGGCGAAGCGGCAGCAGGCAAGTGCAGCAGCAAAGTTGAATGCAGTTTGTAGTGAGCTGGACAAATAACAAAAATAGAAGTAAACAAATAAATAAATAAATAAATAAATAAATAAATAAATAGAAGAGAATTAAAAAGGGACGGACACGCGAAGAGGAGCTGGCGCATCCCCCCTAAACCCTAAACCCTAAACCCTAGCCCCGCCACTCGCGTCAAATTCGGAGGGTTTAGGGTTTAGGGTTTAGGGTTTAGGGTTTACCGTTGGTGGCAGTCAGGGTCACTTCGAGCCGGTGGGTGAAGAAGCAAAGAGGAAGCAAGGGCTCATCCACTGGGGCCTCTGAGCCACAAACCCTAAACCCTAAACCCTAAACTCTAAACCCTAAACCCTAGGCCGTGAGGTTGAGGCACTTGAAGTGAGCACTGCCTTGTAAAACCCTAAACCCTCAAACCCCCAGACCTCAACCCTAAACCCTAAACCCTCTAGGTCTCGGCCCTCAGGCTCCAAACCCTAAACCCTAAACCCTAAACCCTAAACCCTAAACCGTGGAATACCCTTCAGCAGCAGAAAGGCAGCAGCAAAACCGTCTTGGCTCTGCAGCGGCCACGCGTACACCGAAGAGACTCCTCCGCCGTAGTGCCTGCAGCGCCAAACCCAAAACCCTAAACCCTAAACCCTAAACCCTAAACCGTAGACCCTAAACCCTAAACCCTAATCCGCTGTCTTCGTGAACCACCTTTTACAAGCCCGAGGCGCTAAACTGTAGACCTAGGCGCCGAATGAAGGCAAAAGGCCTTAAGCTTTAGGGTCTAGGGGTTAGGGTTTAGGGTTTAGGGTTTAGGGTTTAGGCTCACGCGTCTCTGTAGGAGTTGTAGGCCGCATTGAACTGCTGCTCCAGCTGCCGCAGGTGTGGGGCTCTGCAGCAGCACAACAAGCCCAGCTAGCTAGCTAGCTAGCCAGATAGCTAGCTAGCTAGACAGCTAGCTAGCTAGACAGCTAGCTAGCTAGCTAGCTAGCTGTCTAGTTTGCTTCCCAGAGGGCTAGCTCGCTGAAACATACACTGGCTGGCTAGCTCGCTAGCTAGCTAGCTAGCTAGCTAGCTAGCTAGCCAGAAACTTTGCTAGCCAGCGAGCTAATTGGCTAGCTCGCTAATGAGCGAGAAAGTATGCTAGCTAGCTAGCTGGGTAAGTAGCTAGCCAGAGAATTTGCGGGCCATCTGGCTACGTTAGCTAGCCGGCTAGCTAGCTAAATAGCTAGCTAGCCAGCTAGCTAGATAAATAGCTAGCTAGCCAGCTATCCAGAAAAACAGCTGGCTATCTAGCTAAATCGCTAGCTAGCTAGCTAGATAAATGGCTGGCTAGCTAGCTAGCTAGCTATATGACAACCAGCTAGCTAGCAAGCTATCTGGCTAGCTAGCTAGCTAGCTAGCTAGCTAGCTAGCTGCTTACGGCTTGCTGGCGTCGGAGATGGGGGGCAGCCAGGTGTCTGTCCAGGGGCTGCGGAAACTGTTTTTTAATTTGTTGAAATAAGAGGCGATGAAGTACTTGCCCGCCTGCCGCAAACCCTAAACCCTAAACCCTAAACCCTAAACCCTAAACCCTCAGTCCTACGCCGGGGCCCCACGCCTGGGCCCGGGAGTGCAGAGAGAAGACGCCAAACCCTAAACCCTAAACCCAGAGGGGCCAGCTGCAGCCAGCGAGGCCTAGTGAACAGTGCTGCTGCTGCTACTGCTGCTGCTGCTGCTGCTGCCAGAATGAGGGTTTAGGGTTTAGGGTTTGGCTGTCGTTGGTTTGGGGTTTAGGGCTTAGCTGCTGAGGCTTTGGGGTTTGGCTCTGCAAGGGTTTAGGCCTTAAAGGACTCAAGCCCCTGGTAAGTGAGAGAAAGCTAGGGTCTCTGCATTCGCTAGGGTTTAGGGTTTAGGGTTTAGGGTTTGGGGTTACCGCAGGGTCTACGACGAGCTCCGGAATGCCCTGGCACCTGTCCCTCAGCAAACCCTCAATGCTAGGGCAGAGCGCAGCTGCAGCAAAAACAATAAAAAGGGTTTAGGGTTTAGGGTTTAGGGTTTGGAGAGCACAGGGCATGAGCTTTTGCTGTTGCTGCTGCTGTTGCTGTTGCTGTTGCTGCTGCTGTTGTTGCTGCTGCTGCAGTTGCTGCTGTTGCTGTTGTTGCAGCTGCTGTTGCCATGGATGCAGCAGCAGTTGGTGTTGCTGCTGCAGCAATAAAGTTGCTGCTGCAGCAGTGGAGCTGCTGCTGCAAGAATGGAATTGCTGCTGCAGCAATTGAGTTGCTGCTGCAGCAATTGAGTTGCTGCTGCGGCAATTGAGTTGCTGCTGCAGCAATTGAGTTGCTGCTGCAGCAATTGAGTTGCTGCTGCAGCAATTGAGTTGCTGCTGCTGCAGCAATTGAGTTGCTGCTGCTGCAGCAATTGAGTTGCTGCTGCAGCAATTGAGTTGCTGCTGCTGCAGCAGCTGCTGTTCCTCTTGCTGGAGTTCCTCTCGTGTGTCGGCCCCATACGGCCCGTCTCGCGCAGCTGCTCAGCCCCAGGGCCTAGGGTTTAGGGTTTAGGGTTTAGGGTTTAGGGTTTTACCTGCGTGGGCGAGACTCTCGTTAACGGCGTCTAGAGGCCCCAGTCGCACAAGAGCTGCTGCGAGCTCTAGAGTCTCTTTTTGCTGCCCCGAATAGAGAGCCATTTGCCTAGGGTTTAGGGTTTAGGGTTTAGGGTTTAGGGTTTAGGGTTTAGGGTTTAGGGTTTGCTCGGCCGGCTAGCCAGCGAGCCAAACAGCCGCAGCAAGATAACCAATCAAATGGACTTCTTTATTTTATTTTCATTTTTATTTTCAAACAAACAAAAACAAAAAATAAACTCAACAGAAAGAGGGGCCCCTAGTTGCCTTGGGGGCCTCCGGGGGCCCCCGGGGGCCCCCAGGGGCCCCAGGGGGCCCCTGGGGGCCCCTGGGGGCCCTGAGGGGCCCCCCAGGGGCCCCTGAGGTACAGATATAAATGCATGTTAGTATTTGGGGATATATAAATGATATATGGTTGAATTGCATGCATTTAACTGAATAAAATGTGCATGCAATGGTCTTGGATTTGAAGACGGAAATAAAATGGATTTAATTTTGGGGAGAAGAGTATAAGCGAAGAAATAAAAAAGAAATAAATAAAAAGAAAAACCAAACCCTCTGAGGGTTTAGGGTCTTGGGGTTTTTTTTTTTAATTCTGGGGCCTTGGGCGCCCATCTTTCCCCCTAATCGAGGCATCTAGGGTTTAGGGTTTAGGGTTTAGGATTTAGGGTTTGGGGTTCAGTATTATTTGGATCTAAAAGTGCATTAATTTAAACAGACAAAGACGGCGCTGCATGCAGTCAAAATGCTCACAAAAGAGCTGTCTGTACACCTCATTTGTCACTTTTTTTCGGCTTTTTGTCCATTAAAAGTAGAGCCTTAAAATGCACAAAAAGCAGGGGAACACATTTAAAAAGGCATTTAAGATGGAATTAAAAGACATTTAAAATGGCATTTAAAATGGCATTTAAAATGGCATTTTTTGCTGCCGCTGCGGTGTACGTACAGCAGACGCGCGCAAAGACGCGTGGTGTACGTACACTGCAAATGCGCGCAAACTCGAAGAAATCAAAAAGACTTTTTGGCCAATTTTGAGCGCATTTCGAGGCAAATAATGTAAACTAAATGCATGCATTTGATATAAATTAAATGCATGCATTTAATTTGCACTTAATGGCCACTAAAAAGTCTTTTTAGGAAAAGGCTTTTGACTATTGTGGTCACTGCAATTGCGGTGTACAGACACCCCACGTGCGGGGTTTCCGTTCGTTTGAAGAATCAGAAATCAGAAATGCTTTTAAACTGCAACAAAAGTATGGATAAAGAATAATAGAAGCATTTAAATCCCAATAAAATCATTTAAATCCAATTCTTGGTGCGAAAATCCGGAAAAATTACCTGCGTGGCATCTTTAGATATGAACAAGTGCATTTGGCTTTATATATGGACTTGGGATTAATTCAGAAATCCAATTTTCTCCTTTTTGAGACTAAAAGTGAATTTAAAAGTAATTCAGAGCTCCAGCTGCTGCTGCACTTGCCTTTAAGACTTTATTTGCGTTTAAAAGTGCATTTAAAACTCCATTTTCCAGATCTTGAGACTTTTATTTAATTTATTTTCGCAAAAACGGCCCATTAACCAACAACTGCGGAGTGTACAGACACTCGAAAGCAACTACAAAATGCAATACTCAAAGTTCAAAAACTTTTGATTAAAATGTTCAAATTTCAGGTGTACAGACACTAAAATGCAGAAATCGAATTCAGCCATTTTACCCGCTTAACTTGCGGTGTACGTACACCCCAGAACTGCGCCATTCAACTAATTGAAAATTTCCACCAATGCAAAGAAAGCGAACCTGAAAGGTGCATTTTATTTTATTTTATTTATTTAAATTAATTATTCAGTTTAAATTAATTCAATAAAATGAAATTTATTCCCCAACTTGTCTGAAGCTTCAGCCCGAAGCCTGCGTGCGTTGGGGTGTACGTACACTTGCGGTTTCAAGACCGCGCAAATGTCTTCTTGAATTCAAAATCAAAAGGGAAATTAAAATTGATATTTTAAATCTTATTAAAGCATCTTTTTGTGCTCAGATGAATTCAAAGAATTCAAATTTATTTATGCACTATTGTTTTTTTGAATATTGGCGTTCGTCCAGGTCGCTTGCTCTGAGGTGTACGTACACCCCAACAACGTGGCGCTGCAGCTGCAGCAGTCTTATTTGCTGCTGCTGCCGCAGCAGCAAATAAAACAGCCGCAGGGTTGACGCTGGATTAGGGTTTAGGGTTTGCGTGTGCAACGGACTTGCATGCAGAGCAAATGAGGAAAGGGGAAACCTGGAGGGGAGAAACCATTACAAGGGTTTAGCGGGGGTTTAGGGTTTAAAGCTCATCTGCTGCTTCTGCAGTACGGCTGCATGCATGCAAATCGTTGAGGTGGAGATACACCTCAAAGTAATCAGTCGAAATTACAATACCTCAAGGGCCCCCATTTGAGATTCCTAAAGGGGCCCTTGGGGGGCCCCCGGGAGGCACCCTGGGGGGCCCCCGGGGCCCTCGGGAGCCCTGAAAGAGTACCCAGAGCATGGGGCCCCCTGTGAACAAAGAGGGACCTGAGATTCTCTAGGGGCCCCCTAGGGGCGCCCTCAAAGGGGCCCCCAAGTCAGCTATACCCTAAAGGGGTGCCCCACAAAAGTGCCTAGGAGGACCCGAACAGGGGGCCCCCTTGAAGGCCCCCAGGGGCCCCCAAAGCCCCAAAGGGTACTGGGAGGGGGGCCCCTAGGGCCCCCGGGGGCCCCCTAAGGCCCTAGAAAAGCCCCAGGGGCCACCTGCAGCAAATCTCTGTGCTGCAGCTGCTAGAGTGCTTTTGCTACTGCCCCTATATCCCTTGTTGCTGCTAGGGGCCCCCAAGGGGGCCCCAGTTTCTTAATTGTTGTTAAAGTGGTCTTGGGGGGCCCCAAGGGGCCCCTCAAGACCTATATTGTTGTTAGAGGAGTCTTTGGGGGCCCCTGGGGGGCCCCCAAGACCTACATTGTTGTTAAAGGGGTCTTGGGGGGCTCCCCGGCGGCCCCCAAGACCTATATCGTTGTCAAAATGGTCTTGGGGGGCCCCCGGGGGCCCCCTAAATCAAAAAGGAGTTGAAAGGGGCGCTGAGGCCCACTGTGGGGTGTGCTGGTGCCCAATGAGGCAAGGACTAGTCATCTGGAGCCCTTGCTGCTG